ATGTTTGCATGTATGATCTTCCTTATTGAAAATCACCAATGATTTAAAATGCTGACAGTGTTAGCTTCAACGAAATGTTACAAAATTAAAAAAACATTGTTTAGGTAAGTTATTATGCATGAGAGTGTGTGAGTGAACAAGTGAGAACGAAAAGAAACAAACAACATTTTAATAAATGTTATTTTCCTCGGGAAATTAAGCATTCCATTTAGAAAGCCAATTGGGCCACATTTAGCCTATGGGCCACAGTTTGCCCATGACTGATCTAACCCATAGCTGGAGGAAGAATAGATAGATTCATACCTTTCCTAAAGATATTTTAACATATGCTACTTGAAAAAAACATTCAAAAGCAATATGCAAAAATCATGTATAAAAAAAAAAAAAAATAGAAGGCTAATTGGGAATAACCGGGTCACATTCCGAGATAAGATATAAATATCCCTGCAAACAAGGAATATTTTGATATTTTCTGTAATTTTGAGAAGGGATGTTAACATTCTAATATTTCTTCAGAGAAAATAATATTTTGGGAGCCATATAAATCAGGTGAGGGAAGACTAAAAACAACAAAAAATATTCACTGAATTTTTATTAGTTGCTAGTAGTGTTTTTCTTTTGAATTTTATAATTATGAACAAAAATTGCTTAATTTTTTATCAACACTAGCCCTAACCATAAAACTAAATTATATGTATAATTTTCAATGGTCGAGTTGATGCTTTCGGATGTTCTGTAGCAGCAGCAGCAGAAGTCAATATTGTTTGTTAGCTCCCTTTGGTATTTTTTACTACATCATAAAATCAGTTTATGAACCAGTAACAAACTTTTACCAAACAATTTTGGTATGTTTTTGAATATTTCCTGTACTGGGAGATAATCTTTCAATGTGAAAGTTGGTGATTTTTGTCTGAATTTCTGGGATGATGAGTTACTATTATTTACACTACTTATATTTGAACTGTTGTCCTTATCTTTATTGTTGCTATCACAATGTTTTGACCCTTGTGCCCTCTGTCCTTCCTCTAACCCTTATGGATTAAATAAAGGGCTCAGTTCAGAATTTCCTGTAAGTTGTCCAGATCGATATACACCTGAGGAAGGCTGGAGAGCATGGCTGCCCAAACATTGTGATAACAACAACAAAGATGAGGACAATAGTCCAAATACAAAATACTGTAAACAATAAAGGGTTCAGTTCAGAATTCCATGTAGGTTAACCAGAGCGATATACACCTGATAAAGGTTGGAGAGCACAACAGCCGAAACATTGTGATAACAACAACAAAGATGAGGACAATAATCCAAGTATAAATAGTGTAAATACAAAAAAAAAGAAAACCCAAACATTATACAATTATTAATTTTTTTTTTTTTTTTTTTTTTTTTACAATGATGTTCACCTTGTACAAGGCCCAAAAGCCACTCAAGGTAGAGGGTTACAAAGTAAGAGGCACAGGGATATGTGGGAAAGATAATGGTTAATCCTAGACTTTCACAGATTAAGATTGTAGTGATTGGGAAAACATCCTGTGAGGAGTCAGTTCCAGAAAGTAGTGGTTATAATTATTCAGGCAACAATCCAAAAAAGACATTCAGTTGTCTGAACAAAGCTTGGGAATTAATTCTTTTAATTCATATGGTGTTCTTTTCATCCTTAAAAGTGTGATTAGATTTTTTGTAGTTACTTATTCAGTATATTTAATGCTATTTAGAATGATGGCATACCTTGCTTGCTTCTGCAGTCATCTGTTGTTAGTGTATGCATAAATGAAGCATGGAAAATATTGTCAAATGTTTATCAAATTCTTTTGTTAATATCAATGACAGTGGTGTAGATAGTGTGTTCTGCCCAAGACAGCAACTGAATTTGCCAAAACCTACCCAGCCCTCTCACAAAGAGACATGAAAAACGACGAAAAGGAAAATTAACCATAACATTCTGCATGTACGCACATATGCACAGGCAGGCACATACACAATGAAAGGAAAAAAAATCAACCTTGCACCAATGAAAAGTGCATATATAAATGAAAAAGAGAAAATAGAGAGTCAATTGCTGATATCCCCTGATGAGTGGAGGGAATGATTGCTGGGGGTGGGGGATTCGTCTATGAAACTCAGGATGCTGAAGGTAACACCAATCAGCTAAGTGACAAACTTTGTATTATATATATAAAATAACATAGTTGAACTAGAGAGAAGATTGTTAATTTAGTTTTACTTTCAGCAATAAAAGTCTTTTTATCTTTTATAAGTATGGAGCAGTAGCAAAATTTCTTAAATATGTTGTCATTATTTTGACATCATATGTTAGCTAATATATCTATCTATATCTATCTATCTATCTATCTATATATTATATATATGGAAAAAAAATTGCATTAAGTGTTTCATCTCTCAAGAGGTCTTCTTCAGTCTTAAGACTAGTAATGGTTTTATCAAAGTTTCATATATATTTCATTGACTAATATAGACATATTATGTCTATTTGTTTTTATAATGATCCTTTCTAGTTTTCTAATAAATTTCTTTGTTATACTGAACTTCATCAAGGAAAGCACCATAGTTTTTTCTTACCTAAGTACTTTTGATCTCCAAGATCATCCTCTGGGCTGAATTACAAAGACAAATTTATTGTGACTGATAAAATCAGCATTTCATTGTGATGGTGATTTTTAAAAAACACACGAAAGTGCTCTGTTATAATTATTTTAAAATTTAAAATTTATCCGTTGTAGCTATGAAATAGTTTATTGAATCAATTTATTTCATGATCAGCCTATAAGCTACATATAAGCGCTTATAAGTTGCACGTCACCCATAAAAACGTCTTTGCTGTCCACGGACCCCCTATCTTGTCCTTGTGGACTCCCTGTGGTCTGCGGACCACAGTTTGAAAACCCCTGCACTAAGGAATCATCTTGCTTCAACTTGGTCCTGAGATAGTCTTTGTCATTGCTATCTTTGTTGTTCTGTTGCTAATTTTCTTTTTCTTTCAAAAGTATTTCCATTTTGAATTTCTATTATATTAAACACATCATTTTTTAACCTGAAAAGATATTGAGCAAAAAGCAATTTATATAATACCAGGAGTAATCAATGAATCATAGATACCATTGAATGTCTAAAGAATATGAAGGGAACGGATTAATTAAACAGTTTATTGGTCTCTATTTCACTTATGAATTTTGGATCTTCTCTTTATTGAATCTCAGTACATTTTATCAAAACTTTTGTTTCATTGTATCTCAATATTAGAACATTGGCAATATTAGACCTTTGTCTGTCAAAAGGATGATCTTTCATTTGACACTAATATTACTGTATACACTTTTGACTCCCTTGACAATGCTTGTTGTTTTAAAAAAAATGATTAGAATCTTAATATAACCCAAACATCAAAGTGGATTTATACATTTTCTTTATTCATGAGAATTGATAAAAATATTAAACGCTATTTATTTATTAGATTAAATAAAAAACTTGTTTACATAGTTATTTATAAAATGGTAAATAATGAATATTGCATTGTAGCTGATTTACATATTTTGATAATTTGGTAATTTTTTATAGATTTTTTTAATAAAAAGATTTCTTTTCAAATTCATTTCTTTATAAAAGGTAAATAATAAATATCGTATTGTACTTCACGTTTTTATAAACTTGTAAATAAACATTGCTGAGGGAATCAAAAGTGTATACAGTAATAGTGGTGTCAAAGGAATAACTGTCTTTTTGAAATACCATATTGTTGTAGGCACAATAGCTAAGCATTGGCTAAACTTTCTAACACTTATTGTTATTTTTTATGGTACAAGTAAACTAGTAAGTAACAATATTTTCCGTGTAATAAATGTAGAAATTTCTGCTTACTGTAGTGTTTTATTTTGTTTTTTAATAAAAAGATTTCTTTTCAAATTTATTTCTTTATAAAATAAACATTTGTAATATTAAATCTTTGTAAATAAACATTTCCAGGGGACACAAAAGTGTGTAAGGTAATAACAGTGTCAAGTGAATAACCATCCTTTTGACAAACAATTTTTGGAGTTTTTTTTTTTTGTAGGCACAAAGGTTAAACATTGCCAAAAGCTTCTAACATTTGCTGCCATTTCTGATGGGACAAGTTTTTTTATTTTTTATTTATTAATTAGTATCAGCCGATGCAAGGCAGTAAAGCCACTAAAACACAAGGGGGTTACTTGATGTGGAAGAATTAGGAACAAAAATATTAATAATGAGCAGGAAGAGGAAAGACTAATCAGAACAATAGATAGCAATTGACATTGCATTTAAATTTTTGCAGGTTAAAGTTGGTTAGAAGGGAGTTCCACAAGCAAGAAGTGTGAGAAAAGAAACTGTTAGCATAGAATTTACAGTTACATCTAGCCAGCTCAATTATCAATTGATGAGATCTTGATGCCAGTCTTGTACTGCATTTAAATTCAAAAAGTCTAGGTACCATAGCAAAGAGCTCATCCAAACAAAAGTATTTATAGAAAAGGCAAAGGAAGGCAACCTTAGGGTGGTGGGAAAGTGAATGAAGCTGAGCCACCAGATCAGGACCAATAATATTGCTGATTTTTCTTTGGATTTTATCAAGGAGCTCAAGGTAAATAAAAGGGGGTATCGGACTGTATGTGGCAGCAGTATTCTAAGCATGGACGAATGGTAGACTTATAGATATGTAAGATAGATTCTTTCTTTATATACTAGTAAGTAACAATATTTTCCATGTAACAAGTGTACAACCCCCCGCTTAGTGTTATGAATGTTTATTCTTCTTGTAGTCTATTTTATTTTTGAGAAACCATTCCATTTTTAATATGTGAACAGATTTCTTGATTTTATGCTTACCTCTCTGATATGTGATATATTTTTATTTAATTCATTTTTTTTTCGATGTTGAATGTCAAATTTTGCCTTTTCTTTTAATGCAGTAGAGCTTCGTCTTTTTTTTTTTATTTAAACTCTACCACTAACCCATTGTTTTACAGAACCCGCGGAGAAGTGCACAAAAAGGAAGCTGTTTTTTTATAAAAGTAAATATGTTTACTGGAATGATCTAGAGTGTCCAGGTGTCTACTTCTCCCTCACATCCTGACCCCCATTGGCACACAGACGTTTTATCCCCCCATCCACTGTAGCCTTGCAACCTCCATCTTATTACAGACCTTCATATCGGGTCCTTCTCATTAGAGACTTTTCCTTTAACATTATTTTGCTTTTTTCTTGCCTCAATTTTTTAATGCTTACCAAATGTAATACCTATGTCAATATGTATAAAACTCTAATAAATGAAACTTTTATTTAAATAGTACAAACTCCATTAGCACATATATATCTTTTTATTACTTAAAACATTATTTTTTAGCTTCACAATCAAACAAGATTCTATTTTGCCTTTGAAGCACATTCATTCGTTCAGATTTTTCTGCAAACACATATCTGCTCAGTTTTGTATAAAAAAAACGTAAACAAAGCAATTTCTAAAAAATTAATGGATTTTACTTTTAATCCAGCATATTTTTACTAGTTCAAACATTATTTTTAGTGGATACCTATATTTGAGTAGACGTTCTGTTTATTTAAAACGGTATTTATTTCATCTACTAGCCTGGGTACAAGAGAAAACTTAATAAAGAAAATGTACCCTATGGTATGATTTGAACATGCATCGCCCTTTAAAAGATTACTCACCATCTGATCTGCTATGCTTTAACAGCTCGGCTACAAAGAGCTTAACAAGCAAGCAATGTTCTATTTTGCCTTTAAAGCATATTCACTTGTCCAGATTTATCTCGAAACACATATCTGCTCAGTTTTGTATCCAAATTGTAAACAAAGCAATTTCTAAAGAACTAATGGATTTTATTATTTAATCCAACATATTTTTATTACTTCAAATTGTTTTTTTAGTGGATACCCGTATCTGAGTAGATGTTCTGTTTATTTTAAACAGTAATTATTTTGTCTACTGGCATGTGTACACAAGAAAAATTAATAAAGAAAATATACCCTCTGGAATGAATTGAACATGCATTCCCTTTTGAAGGAGGAACCAGCATCTGATCCCAAGTAAATCCAAAGGAATTTCTAAAGAATTGATGGATTTTATTTTTTAATCCAACATTTTATTACTTCAAACATTATAGTGTCTACTCAAATATAAGTATTCACTAAAAATAACCACTGAAGTAATAAAAATATCTTGGGTTAAATTATATATATATATATATATATATATATATATATATACATACACACACACACATTTCTAAATTATTAATGGATTTATTTTTAGTTGACATTTTTATTACTTCAAACATTATTATAGTTGATACTCCATATTTGAAATAGATGCCACATTTCTGTCATTCTTTGTGGCTGAGTGGTAAAGCACACTGGATCAAACAATGGTTTCTCTGAAAAAGGGGAACACAGTTTCGACCCCCCCCCCCAGGGAATGCATTTTTCTTTACTAAGATTTCTCAAATACACAGACCGATAGACATAATACACACTGTTTAATCGATAAAAATGGGATGTCTATTTCAAATACAAAGTATCCACTATAATAACATTTAATGTAATGTGTGTATATATATATATATATATATATATATATATATATATATATATATAAAGACATTTTTATGTTTATACATTCTTAAAATAATTGTTGGACTTTGCCCATTTCATAATATATATATATATATAGAGAGAGAGAGAGAGAGAGACTGTTTCGCTGTATCACAGCTCATCAATGTGGCTAGACATTCAATTGTTTCAAGCCGAGATCAAAATTTGACTGATTTGGCATCAGTCAGAGACTCTACCTCTAAGCTATTGGCACACAGCAGAGAAAGGGGATCTTTTAACGTATTATATACATGATATGTATATAAACGCTATATATTATTACTATAAACGTTATTTTTATCAGGTACATATGTTTCAGCTGACATCTGTTTTTTATTTTCTGAAAATACAAACCAGTCTAGATCGAGATGTCCAACTAAACAAAAATGGGCCTTCCAACAGGAATTGAACTTGTATCCCCTTTTTTCTATCAGGGAAAAAACACCAATATCCATAGTGTGGTGTTACCGATTTGGTCACGGGAAGTCATTATAATGATGGAAATCTCAATTACCTATTAAAAAAAATGTACACATGCCAGGTATTTAAGGAATGTACACCTGATGGAAAAATGGAGATACAGGTTCAGTTCCTTTTGGGAGGCACATTCTTTTTTAGTAAGACTTCTTGATCTAGGCTGATTGATATTAATTTCATTGTTTAAGAAAATTAAAAAAAAAACTGATTTAAACTATACATATAAACATTAAAAATGTTTATAATAAGAAATAATGTTGGATTAAAAAAATCCATTTAAAAATTACTTATATATATATATATATATATATATATATATATATATATATATATATATATATAAAAAAAAACAAAGATAGATCAATGGTAGGCTTTATTATAGAGATACATCAAGCCTTAAATCATAATAGACCACCTCCTGGAAGAATATACAGAAATTCTAGGGAAATTATTTTATGAGAATTACGTAGGAAATTGTTCTAACACAAAATGTTTATCTGATATGTGATATTACAGGTAGAATTTATTTTAAAAAAATACATCAAAACTTTTAATGACTCTCATAATTATGTTGTTAGTGAAACAGAACTAAAAAAAGGATATATATATATAGAAAAATCATTGGAAATGATTTTTACTATGAAAATGCATTGGCTAATAAGTTTTACTATGAAAATGCATTGCAAATTATCACAGGAAGTCTTATCAAATCGATAACTTATATTCACTGTATTTATATATATATATATATATATATATATATATATATATATATATATATATATATATATATATATATAGTGACATAGTATTAAATGCATATATAACATACACTGCAAATGGTTTTTTAATATAGAAATGTGTTAAAACTGGTTTTACTATAGGTAAAGCTGTTTATGTAATACATGGTGTCAAGGCATGGATTTATTTTTTTTTAAATTCATGATTACATTCATTCTAATCATGACATATATAGGGATATATCAAATTGTGTTCAAAAGGAAAAAAATGAAACTATTAAAATGGTTTGTATTGTAATGCTACCTTCATTTGAACACTACAGGTAATATTTCAATTTTGTTTTCTTATTGCTGCCCACCAGCATACCGCTACTCTACCACAACCCCTGCTTAGCTTTAGTCATTTTCTGTACTAACAAACCAGATTTCTGGCAGTTGGAGAAAAATTGAAAATGTAAGCACTAATTTTTTTCTCATTTTTTCTTTCCTTTTTTCTTTTTTTACTTAAAATTTGTTTGAAGAAATTATGGTCATCATTTTGCTATAGATTTGAAATTAGGAAATAGGACTTTCATATGTAGAATTTAAATGCATTGCAAATAAGGAAGAAAGGGATTGTCAGTGGTCGGGAATGAATGCAAGCATTACTGATAGAATAGGGCTATTATATGTGTAATGTGAATGTATTGCTAATGGTTTTACTATAGAAATGCATTGCAAATGAGAAAGAAAGGGATTGTCAGTGGTCAGGAATGAATGCAAGCATTGCTAATAGAATAGGGCTATTATATGTATAATGTAAATGCATTGCTAATGATTTTACTATAGGAATGCATTGCAAATGAGGAAAAAAGGGATTGTCAGTGGTCAGGAATGAATGCAAGCATTACTGATAGAATAGTGCTATTATATGTATAATGTAAATGCATTGCTAATGATTTTACTATAGGAATGCATTGCAAATGAGGAAGAAAGGGATTGTCAGTGGTCAGGAATGAATGCAAGCATTACTGATAGAATAGGGCTATTATATGTATAATGGAAATGCATTGCTAATGATTTTACTATAGGAATGCATTGCAAATGAGGAAGAAAGGGATTGTCAGTGGTCAGGAATGAATGCAATCATTACTGATAGAATAGGGCTATTATATGTATAATGTAAATGCATTGCTAATGATTTTACTATAGGAATACATTGCAAATGAGGAAGAAAGGGATTGTCAGTGGTCAGGAATGAATGCAAGCATTACTGATAGAATAGGGCTATTATATGTATAATGTAAATGCATTGCTCATGATTTTACTATAAGAGTGCATTGCAAATGAGGAAGAAAGTGACTGTCAATTTCACTATGGTTGATTTGCCAAAGAGGTGACTTCTTAATAATATGGTCCTTGTGGAGATGTAAAGATTGAATAAATCTGAAAAGAAGACACATCCTTGTCTTATACTCGTTTCATTTTCTGTCCATATATTGGCAGTTTGCTCTCAGTAAACATTCTTTATTATTCTGCCATCTTATTCCAAATAAATTTAGTTTTTCTAGCATTTCAGACAGATCCTTGTGCTGTACCTTGTCAAATGCTTTTGCACAATCTATAAAGCATGTATTTCCATCCTGGGTATGACGATAAACTACATCCGCGTCCTGGGTAAGACAATAAACTACATCTGGCAGCAAGGCCTCGGATCAGGAGGTTTTGAGGAGCGTGGAACCACCTCTTAATTGCTGATGTTCTCAGGTCCACCCTGACCCGGGGTGGTAGCACCTGTTAAGGTCCCAGCTATGGGCAAAAAGTTGACACCCAAACTGGGGTCAAAACACTATGAAAGTGTAAAAATAGGTTTTAATACCAGAAATATGTTTTACCAGCAATAAATTTTTGAAGAAAAAAAAAAACTATTACCAGCAATACATTTTCGGAAAAATATTACCAACAATGTTTTTAAAAAAAATAAATATTACCAGCTATACATTTTTTAAGGAAAAATATTACCAGAAATAGGTTTTTGATAAAACAAAATATTACCAGCAATAAAAATTTTTTCAGCATTAAATGACCCATTGAGGTTGATATGCTGTAAACCAAACCAAACATTCTGTATTTGTATTGCTCTCTAGAAATGAAAATAATGATATAATCAAGCTGTTAACTTCCCTTTTGTTTCCCTTTAAAAGTGGCTTCAAATGAATAAATCCTGTAGAACTTAGCTTTTTTTTTTACCTGGTAGAATAGGATTACAAAATCACAAAGAACTTTATCAAATATCAAAAACCTTGTACACTTTCAACAGCAGCAAACATGGTATCGCATATAACCTGAATAGAAAATAATGATACAATCAAGCCGTTAACTTCCTATGCTATCAAAAACAAAAGGTTTGGAAGGAAACTATCCTCAATAGTAGAAAGAATGATAACAGTTTGTGAGCTTCAGAAGTATAATTTCCTGAAAAACTGTTCTAATAATAAAGATTAGGCAAACTTGAACCTTCATGCCTGCAAAAAAAAGTGTCAGAAGAATGTTTTTTTCATTGATACCACTATTATTTTAACTACCTTCACTCCTCAGCAATGTTTATTATTTTAAAAAGCAATGATTAGAATTGTAATAAAACCTAAATGTATGATGAAAATAAATTTATACATGTTTTCGTTCTTGAGAATTGACAACAAATATATTAAACACTTATTTATTAGATTGTTTACGTACACTGTTTATTGGAATGGTTGGCAAAAAATTGGCTAATTAGCAACTGATTAGAGCTTTATAAAATGGTAAATAATAAGGAATTCCTTATAGTTGGTTTACATATTTTAATAATTTAGTAAATGTTTATAAATTTATGAATAAAAAATAGTTTTCATATTTATTTCTTTATAAATTAGTAAATGATAAATATTGCATTGCATTAGTTTTAATTGTTTTACATTTTTGAATGTGGTAAATATAAAATTATTCTTGTAAATAAATGATCTAATAAATAATTAGTGTTTAATATTTTTGTAAATTCTCAAAAAAAACGTATAAATTCATCTTCATCATATGTTTAGTTTTTATTACAATTCTAATCATTGCTTTTTAAAACAAACATTGATGAGGAGTGAAGGTAGTTAAAATAATAGCGGTGTTAAGGGAAAAACTGTCCTTTTGACACTTCATTTTTTTGCGGGTATGAAGATTGAAGTTTCCCAAAGATTTTATAAATTTCAACCGAGAGTAACACTGTTTGGTCAATGAATGACAAATTTTTTTCTATATGGAAATGGCAATTTTTCGCAATTACTGTTGAGCAAAAATGTTTGTGTCATCTTATGGTTTATAGCAATATCCCATTGAAACATCAGTACAATCACCAAAGTTAAGCAACATCAAGCCTGGTAAGTACCTATATAGGCAACCACTTGGGAATATAAGATGCAAGGGTTAATTAAGATTTGTATCAGTAAATCATTATTATTTCAAAACTACCATGGCCACAATGATTTTCTAAATATGGCTTATCGACCTTTTGCAGGTTATTTAAAGCCAGAAAATATTTTTAAATTTTAAGAATTTTTTTTTTTTTTTTAGATATTAATGGTTTAGTCATACAAGTCTACCTAGGGTGAGGAGTGGTGGATTCATTATCTTTCACAAGGGGATTTGCGTGTATGTGGATATAACAAACCAAATGGAAATTGGAACTCAGCTCTCCAATTAACAATTCTGACCCATTATCCATTAAACTACCCACACGTCTAAATTTACAGCACTTAATATTCCTAAGTGGTCACTCATTCAGGCTTAACATTGCTTGACTTCGGTGATTGTATGGGAATCTGTGTTTCAATATGATGTAGCCATAAGCCAAGTGAAGGCAGCAGTTGCATGACACTATAAATATTTGTTCCATTTAGCTTAGTATTATACAAAGCCACATTGGTAAAGGAACCTAGTGAGGATCAAACTCATCATGGTAGTAGTGATCTGAGATACAGGTTTCTTAAATAGATACACTAGTGATGGGTGTTTATTTTTTTGCTTATTCTGCACTTGAAGATTTTTAATTTTTTTAATTCAGTTTTGTATTTTCAAAAATTTCTTTATTATCATCATCATCATCATCATTCCTTAGAAATTTGAATGACAGTTAAAATTGATTGTCTGAGATGTTTTTTTTTGTTTTGTTTTTTTTTTGTATGCCAACCAGTAATAAAACCAACTTGGCTTCCATTGTTGAAAACTGTAAAAAGAAAGTTCTCAAATACCAGGTTTATATGATTTGAATCTATCATCTTGATTGATGATAATATTTGTACCCTTTACCTATAGCATGATTTTTTGGTTGTCTCTCCTACTTTACCTGAAATTAAAGTGTGATGTTTACCCCATTCCCAAAGTGCCTCACTGCATGATTTTTAAAGTTGAAATTTCCCGCCACAGATTTTAACCCTGTATTTATTTTTAGAATTTTGTTTTCATATATATATATATATATATATATATATATATATATAATTGTTTTATTCCTATTTTTATTTTATTATTTGTCTTTGATATTTTTTATAAAAATTTTTCTTGCTTTTATTTTTTGATAAAATTCGTATTTGCTATTATTTTAATGGAATAGGTTTTTACATTGTTTTTTAATTTTTTTTTTAATGTTTCCATCAGAGAATTTGACCAAATACTTTTTAATGATTCCTGTCTGAATTTTTTAGAGATGGTGGGGGGTGTATTAAATGATTTATATACCCGCATCCCTTTGGATTAGTGTCCTCACCCTGTTATAGTCTGACTGTAACTCTAACAACCAAGATGAGGACACTACTTTTAATAGTTAATTCTTTTAGTAATATTTTTATTTCATGAGACAAGTTGTCATTATTGTTATTTATGGGATAAAATAATAAAAATGTTTCATTTTATTCCTGTTTGGTAGCAGTGAAGAATTAATTAGTCTTTTTTATGAGAAAAATTATTTAAAGATTACTTGGGTAATATTCAAGTTATTGTTTTTAAAAACCATGTTCCTTCAGACAGGTGATCATGCCACTCCACAGCTTCCTTTTTCTTTAATTTCTATTAACTGTGTACTGCCATGATTGTTCCTGGGAAAGATAGTAGAGTGGTTTCCCATTGTCTTCTTCATGGTTCTGAATAAAGTTTTCTCCTTTTTACCAACCAACACCAACTTACTTTGCTATTTTACTCATAATGGGAGATAGTTGATGGATTTATACTTTTCTGAAGGACATCAGTGCAAACTGCCTCAGCTGGAATTTGAATTTAGTTTACCAGTTCCAATTACTATGTTGCTAAAATAGACCAACATGACGAACGTTACATTTTATCTGTAGTTGAAGGCTTGCAATTGCGTTCAGAATATATTTAGCTGAAGCCATAAAATTGTATTCAAAATATTTAGATTTTGGTTTTAAATAATCCATAGAGGTTGATATGCCGCTAAACAACACCAACCAAATAGCCAAATTAAAGAACTCTTTTATGATATTAATCGATATAATATCCTACAATTTCTTAAAGAAATCAAGTATTCCAAGATAAAACTTCAACATGCATAAAACACACATACCACTGGCTTTAGTAATTATGTTCATGCAAACATGTATATTCACAAAAGCTGAGTATCATCTACCATTTATTCAATTGTGAAAGTAGAATAACATATATTTTTAAATCACTTCAAAACTCCCAAGAAAATTAAATTTCAGTATTAAATGACCCAGAAGGAGTTGATATGCCATTAAACAAACAAATATTTGACCAATTACTCAAGTGGAGATGCACAGTTGTCTTGACACTTGATCATATAGAAAAGGTAATCTGCTAAGTTCAAATTCTGGCTTTTGTAGCTTGTTATTTACTTTGCAATAATGCTTTTGGAAAAGGTAAGAATCCGCCTCTCCCAATAGATAATGTTGCTGGTACCATATAACACACAAAACCTGTCACATGTATCTTGGAGTAGACACCAATGCACAGACGGAAGCCATGGAGAATCCAGTGTGGTAACCCAACTGAGTGATGGAATAATTTTGTTTGCAAATGTCCAGGAGGAATTCAATTTCAGGAGAAAACTTATTGAGAGTTGAATGAAGGAATGAAATTTAGATGCAAAAAGAATCTTTGTTCTTATTTTTCACTGTTGGATTATTGTTTTTAGATATAGTCGGTAAATATATAAAATAAATCCTGCATCCATGCATGTAAAATTAATTAGAAAATGCTTTTTCATATTTATCACAACTGAATTACAAATCTTTTTTGAAAAGCTTCAATCTTTGTACTTCAGTGAAATAAATTGCTATGCATGTATATATTTAAAAATTAAATAAATATAACCTTTAAATACTTATAAACTATGTATGTATAATGTGCAGAATTTTTTCCAATAAGTTTATTTTTGCTTTCTAGGTTATATAGGATTCTTTCAGCTTAGAAATATCTGAATTGCTAGATAAGATATTTTAGCTAAAAATTAATTTCTAAATGTTATATATACATACATACATACATATATATATACATATATATATATATATATATATATATATATATGTAGTATGTCTATGTATTGTATGCATAAATATATATAGTTGGATGTTTGTAGTATGTTTGCAAACCAGCATGAAAATGAAATTGATAATTATTTTTATTTGATGAAATTGAATATTTCAGTTGATCTGCTCAACCTCAAATACATTTTTTGTATCTTTATAAGGTGATTCTAAAATTAAAAATTGTTTTCAAATATTTTTCTCCTTTTGTAATTTGTCTCTTCTTTTAATGTTTAAAAAAACATTTTCACTTTTCTTAATTCAAGTAATCACTTTTTCTGTCCATAATTACATTGAATAAATAATGTTGTGCTTTTATTCTGTCAGACAAAGAAAAGGCCTGCATCCGCCAGCAGTCAGCTCCACAGTTCAGCCTTGGACGGCGAATGACAGCCAAATTTGGTTTAGGAACTTTCAGTAACTACATGTTCTCAGGTAATCTAGAAACTATCATATTTCATGGAATATATGACCCCTCTACCTCAAAATAGTTAAAGAATACTCCTTGTATTTTTTATAGCAAGTTGACATATCTGATAGGCTAATGTTTCCCCATATGTCATAGATTATCAGTACTTGAAACTAGTCTAACTCCAAGATAATGTTATATAAAACTTCCTCATTTACATTAATATGTAAAGTTGACATATCTGGTAGGCTGGTGTTTACCCACTGTGTGGTGATAGAAAAATAAAAAAATAATAATGAGGAGACCAAAATGTCACCATCTCTAAAAAAAAATTAGATGTGTATTCAGAATTGCCAGGCCACAAAACCATATTTTGACCAACATATCAAAAAGCTTTCACAACCACAATATAAGGCCATGAGCCAAGCAGAATCAGAACGATATTTTCAAAGTAGATGTCTAGAGATGTATATAACGAGAGGGAAAATCAATCTGAACTAGAATCAATGAATTAATTTTGTCCATTCTCTGATGTTGCGGTCATTGGAATATACTCTGAGTCAAAATCTGACATTTTGCATGTCTAGCTGACAATTTTAAACAACTAATCCATCCTGCTACATTGAAAACATACAATACCTTCCTTCACTTTCATTATTAACCAGGCAGGTATTACATCTGGATACATACATACAAACATACATACATATATATATATTTATTTCCATGCACACACTCTATCTCACTCCTGGACTTGTAACTAACCTAATGTTATAATAAAGTACTAATAAAAGTGATTTTTACATGCTGTTAAATATGGTTGTTTCATATCTTTATTTTTGTTTTAGTTTTTAAAATTTCGAGTTGTTTATTGATATTAGTTATTCTTTAATCTATTTAAAATTCTTTGATCTGGGTAACTGAAGGTTACCTTCCAGGTGGATAATTGCAGACTTTGGTATGAGGACCAATACTTACCTATAAACTCAAGTTAAACCAGACAAATGTTTACTTGTTGATTCATGTATAAACTTGACTAATATTTACTTAAAGACTCAAGTAGAATAAAAATGAGTATGCCATATGGGGGAGGTGATAAAATAGTTATACCCCCTTGCTGGAGATTATCTCCCTTGAGTAAGAACTTTCCTAGTCTGAACTGCTATAAATAGTATCTATTTTTGTACTAAACTATTCTAAGCTGAACAAAGCTTCTTAAGCTACACTGCTTTCCCATGTATTATTAGAGTATAAATGACCAGTAGGCTTAAGTATAAAGTGACCAATATTTACTTGTAGACTCAACTATAAACCGGACCAATATTTATCTATAGACTCAATATAAATCTGCCTCATGTTTACTTGTAGACTCTGCTCTTAACCTGACTCGTGTTTACTTGTAGACTCTGCTCTTAACCTGACTCGTGTTTACTTGTAGACTCTGCTCTTAACCTGACTCGTGTTTACTTGTAGGCTCTGCTCTTAACCTGACTCGTGTTTACTTGTAGACTCTGCTCTTAACCTGACTCGTGTTTACTTGTAGACTCTGCTCTTAACCTGACTCGTGTTTACTTGTAGACTCTGCTCTTAACCTGACTCGTGTTTACTTGTAGACTCTGCTCTTAACCTGACTCGTGTTTACTTGTAGACTCTGCTCTTAACCTGACTCGTGTTTACTTGTAGACTCTGCTCTTAACCTGACTCGTGTTTACTTGTCGACTCTGCTCTTAACCTGACTCGTGTTTACTTGTAGACTCTGCTCTTAACCTGACTCGTGTTTACTTGTCGACTCTGCTCTTAACCTGACTCGTGTTTACTTGTCGACTCTGCTCTTAACCTGACTCGTGTTTACTTGTAGACTCAGCTATAAACCTGACTCAAGTATAAACTTGACAAATGTCTATTTGTAGACTCAAGTGTGTAGTGGACCGTGTTTTTTTTTTACACGTGATATGAACACTTGTGGAACTCCTGAAATAAAAAGCCCACTACAAAAATATGGCAGGCTAGAGATGAGTCCAACTAAAAGAAAATGTATCAGATAAACAACAAGAAACTGATACACATGTACAAACAAATATGTGTATTAGACAACAAAAGGATTTACAATAGTCATAATTAGAACGTAGAGAGCTTGTGTTCCAAAGTATGTTCATATGTACGTGTATGTTTGTGTGTATAATGTTCATGGTGTCTTCCTAAGGAAATGCATAGTGCCCCCCACAAAAGGGGAAAACACAGTCTTCTGCGAGAGTTTTACATGGTTGCAGTGTGTCTACTGAAAATGCAAGAAAGAGAATGAAGTATTCTCAAGTATTTATAGTTTAGGGATAGCTCCACCAAGTGGTGGTGGTGGGGGTCAGAATTTAGGAGGAGATAACTCCGACAAGTATAAACACAACCAATATCTACTTGTAGACTCAAGTATAAACCTGACTAATATTTACTTGTACACTCAAGTGTAAACACAACCAATATTTACCTATAGACTCAAGTATAAGCTTAACCCATGTTTATTTGTAGACTCAAGTATAAAAACGACCCATGTTTACTTGAAGTCTCAAGCAGAATAAAAATGTGAATTCTATATTGGTTGACCCAGCAGTGGTTGACATGTTGTAAAATCCACCACATACTAATTTGATTATTTCATGTTTTAAATTTCTCTAATCTAATTAAATAGGAGGTCAGCTGAGAGAGTTCACTGATGAAGAAAGCAACTTCACTGCATTACTCCAGAAGGCAATGGATTTAGAAGGGGTTGACAGGGACACAATCTATCAGCTTGTAGCTTTACTTATGAAGGTATGTATTTATTGTCTTGGAGAAAATTCACAAATTTCAAGGACAGGATATTTTTAATTAACAGAATGAATGACAGTTACTGTATTTGGGAATTACTAAAAAAAAAAAAAAAAAATTGAAAGTGCTTTTTTTTTCATTAATATATTTTGTGATTAAAACATGATTTATTTTTTATAATTATGCAAATTAAAATTTTATTCATGTGGTTGAGTTGTTAAAATAAAACTTAATAAAAATTCAAAGAATGTTAAATTTAGTTTTCATTGTTTAAAATATTGATAATATTATTTGAAAAATAAATATAGTTAACTCCGAAATAATCACAAAAATTTAAAAATCAAAAAATATCCTTATGAGTACTAAATTGTCCTCAAATATTTTAACAGTTAGTAGATTGGTATGTTCATTGTCTACATCAGAGCAAGGTTCACTTAATTTTTATATCTTTTTTTTTTTAAATCCTTTCACTCCATTCAAGGCACTAAAGCCACTAAGACACAAGGGCTTACTGAGTGTGAAAGAATGAGAAAAAAGAGAAACATTATTAAGGAGTGAGACCAATAGAAGAATAATCAAGAAGACAGTAGATAATCATTGACATTGCATTTAAATTTTTGAAGATCAATGTTGGCTGGAGCTCATGGAACCGGAGGACAGTTCCACAAGTGAAAAGTGTGAGAAAAGAAACTGTTAGCATAGAACTTTTGGTTACATCTAGCCAGTTCAACTGTGAATTGACGAGACCTTGCCTCCAATCTAGTATTGCACTTAAATTCATAAAGTCTAGGTACCATAGCAGAGAGTTCATCCAGACAATTATCAGAAAAATATTTATAGAAAAGGCACAGGGAAGCTACATTACACCAGAAGAAAGTGACTGAAGCTGAGATGCCAGGTCAGGATCAATAATATTGCTAGAATGAAATATATATGATTATAAATGATTAAATTATCAATCAAAATAATGATAAAATATCAAAAACAGAACTTGATCAACACTTCAACCTTGATGTTTGACACACTGATCCACTGATAACTCAAAAATAAAATATATATGCTTATAAATAATTAAATTATGATTACAAATCTATTAAAAATAGTACTTGGATAGCAACTAAACCTCCCTGTTGTTTGGCACACTAGTTCCTGATGACCGAAGTACATGTTAAAATATAAAACACTATGTCCTGTGTGTGTTAAATTCTCCAAATTTTCTTTTCTTATTTTTGATTTTTAATAACAGTTTCTTTGTCTAGTTCTCTTCTGGACTTTTGCAGTTGTCAAATACTTGGTACAATGCTTCCTCATTACTATTTCTTTCATTTTTTTTTTAAACTTCAGATTGGATGTGCAGGTGGTGTAATGGATAATGGCTTGGAATGAGAAGTCATTGAACTGAGTTTGAATTCCAGTCAAATTCATTACATTTCACTTACATGCCAATACCCTTGGGAAAGTTATGAATTCCTCCGTTCCCCCTCAGCTATGGGATAAATAGTAAGATTTGTATTCTGAAAAAAATCATTGTTACCTCCCAAAAATTGTTAATGCAATATTCACTTGCAAAAAAACATTCTTACAATCAAAAAGAAAATATGTTTCAGATTTAAATAACCCACAATAGGTTGATAAACCACAAAAACATAGAAGAAAGAAAAGAGTTGAAAGTTTTCAAAATATGTGCAAATTGTTCACTAGTTATTTCTGTTTGATTTTTTATAGTTTATGGTGAAGATTGAGGACAAAGACATGACTGATTATTGTTGTCCTGGTAAACCACAGGTAAATCTTTTCATATTTACAATTTGGTGTGAATTTTTCAAATATAACCTTTGGTTATATAAAAAAAAAAAAATCAACATCCTCTACCAAGTATTCCAAAAAATGGGACTCAAGTTAAAACTTTCCAAAATGGAAGCTATGATCTGGAATTGGAACGAAAGCAGTGAAGGCATGAAACCTGAATCTACCATAAAAATTCAGGATATGGAATTAGCAAGTAATAAACAATTCAAATTGGTGTATGGATCAGTTATAAAAACTTTAATAGAGGGGACAAGGAAATGGAACACATAAGCTGCATTAGGGGTAGTTTCACCCCACACAGAAAATTGCTACAAAGCCAAAACATTAGCCTAAAACCTTCTTAAATAACATCATCAGATTGAGACTTTAATATGGATGCCAGACCTGGTCAAAAATTGTCAGCTGTTTACAACTGCTTTATCAGATCGATGATTAAAAATTGCTTTGAGTGAATGAAGCCTGCAGTCTTCATGAGGACTCTTCTTTGAGGACTGGTGCTATAGAATCACAAAGAACTGTACCAAATAACAGAAATCAACGATTAAAAAAGGTTTTGCGGAAATGAAGACTGTAGGTCTTACTGAGGACTATCCTTCTTTGAACCTTGCAGATTGGTGCTACAGCATCACAAACAAATATCTGGAGAAAATTGACTTGAGAAATATATTTTTCTGAAAATTCCTTCAATAGAATGAGTTTATAAATGTCAACCGAGCCCTGGCAGCTCAGTCAATGATTGCTGAATGTTACCTTATAAGGAAATGATTAATCTTACCATTATTATAACTCTGTCTGAAGATAAATCAAAAGCTTTGACACTGTTTATATCCTATCAATATTGAATTTTTACGTCTAATTATCATGTTTGTCTATTTATCTCACTTTCCAATAAGAAGAAGAATTGAAATTAATGCATGCAAGATTTCACAGCTCTAGCATCACTCCTTCATAGTCAGCCTATGAGCTTTTCAGCCCACCCTGGAAAGAAACAATGCAGTTATTAATAAGAAGAGTTGGAATTAATGCATGCAAGATTTCACAGCTCTAGCATTACTCCTTCATATTCAGCCTATGAGCTTTTCAGCCCACCCTGGAAAGAAACAATGCAGTTATTAATAAGAAGAGTTGGAATTAATGCATGCAAGATTTCACAGCTCTAGCATTACTCCTTCATATTCAGCCTATGAGCTTTTCAGCCCACCCTGGAAAGAAACAATGCAGTTATTAATAAGAAGAGTTGGAATTAATGCATGCAAGATTTCACAGCTCTAGCATTACACCTTCATATTCAGCCTATGAGCTTTTCAGCCCACCCTGGAAAGAAACAATGCAGTTATTAATAAGAAGAGTTGGAATTAATGCATGCAAGGTTTCACAGCTCTAGCATTACTCCTTCATATTCAGCCTATGAACTTTTCAGCCCACCCTGGAAAGAAACAATGCAGTTATTAATAAGAAGAGTTGGAATTAATGCATGCAAGGTTTCACAGCTCTAGCATTACTCCTTCATATTCAGCCTATGAACTTTTCAGTCCACCCTGGAAAGAAACAATGCAGTTATTAATAAGAAGAGTTGGAATTAATGCATGCAAGGTTTCACAGCTCTAGCATTACTCCTTCCTTTATCAGCCTATGAACTTTTCAGCCCACCCTGGAAAGAAACAATGCAGTTATTAATAAGAAGAGTTGGAATTAATGCATGCAAGGTTTCACAGCTCTAGCATTACTCCTTCATATTCAGCCTATGAACTTTTCAGCCCCTCCTAGAAAGTCCATTTTTGACGCCATGTGTTCACAGGAGGAGTCAGTTGGGAAAGTGACAACTGCGTAAATGAGAGCATCATGTCTGCAAAACATGTCAAATTGGTTGATGTGCAAAGTGCTAGAACATTTGTAGGATGGGGCTGGTATGACTGGCTATATGTAACATCCGGGTTCATCAAGCAGTGGGTAAACGCAGTCACAAAGGGATGAGATGACCAAGTTAACAACATTACTCTCAAGCAGTTGGTGAAGAAAACCATGGACAGAGTACAAAAGGAATATCCTGCCCAGAGCATATGGTGTGTGAACGGATCTGAAATCAATATATGAGTTGATGCAAGGTCCCTAGCAACAGGAATGGTGAATTGGATATTGCAATCAAAGGCCTCAATTTGGCTCTACAGTTGCAGGCAAAGAAAAAGTTTGCACATAAAAACTAATTTCTTGTGTGTAACACTGGCTGTCTGACACCCTTATGGGCAAAGCTAAGGTGCATACCAAAGCAGTGAGCAAGATGCTGGTGCACTGAAGGTTGAGCACAAAGAAGAAAATGGTCCAAGAATACAAGTTGTCTGTTGATGTGGTGCTGGTCACGTGAGACCAGAACTTGGCAGACAAGATGACCTGCCTACCCCAAAGGTGGCTTGATATGGCCAAAAAGGGGGCTGAACCTGTGCAGCAGGTGTGTGCTGCTTCCTTCAACACCATGAGTCCCAGTTGGATAATTGAAGTACATTGGCACAGTGGGAATCCAGCAGTGCGTACCACATATTTTGTGTGGAGAGTTTGTCCTTCCGTGTCAAAGGCTATGGTAAAGTTGGTCATTGGGACCTGTGTGAAGTTCACAACAATAGATCTTGTGCCAGTTCATTGGCAAATGGGCAAACTGGGAGTGAATAGTACATAACACCGGCTCAGCATACACATCGTGGCAACCATTACCTGACAGCGACAGACTGTGGCCTGTCATGTTTTTCTGTGTGGCAGCCATTACACCTGGAAGACTCACTGAGTATCATGTCAGCTGGTGTTCTTTAAGAGGGGACCACCACATGATCTACTCAAAGACAATGACACTGTATTCCACAGCAGGGAGTTTCAGGCCTTTTCTGAAGGATGGAACATGCATTTGCTATTCCAATGCACACATGTCCTGGTAGGAAATGGAATAACGGAGCAGTGTCATAGAAATGTCAAGAGGATTGTGACCAGGATGAAATGTACTGTTGAAGAGGCCATCTATTGGTCCAATGTAACCTCCAAAGATGATACCTCACCACTGAATGTACCCACAAATCAAGTCTACAGATATAAAGCTCAGCTTAAAGGGATTGATTCAGTGCCTCCAATGATGTTTGAGGTGGGCCACAAAGTGTACAAGGTGGGAGACCCCATGTGGGCAAAGGCCCCACACAGTGTACAACTTTAAAAAAGGGACAAATTACTGGTCAGGTATTAATGCAATCATTACAGATAGAATTGGGCTATTATATGTATAACGTAAATTAATTAAGTTGTTAAATAGCTCAAATGAATATTTACTATCCAGCACAAGTATTGAACTGATAGCCTTCAGCTAATGTAAACTTGTGCTTTAATGAGTTAACCTGTTCCACCTGCAATTGAAATGGGTTGTACCCATTGAGTTCTATATAAACTTATGGTTTTCCACTGGGCTGGTATAAGATGTGTTTTCACTGGATGCCCCATACTTTCGGCCTTGTGCCACATCTAAGCTATGCTTAGAAAATCACTATAAGATCTATTTACCTTTGGCTGAGATTTCTAACCCAAGCCCCAGGGGAAGTGATGAGGGGGGGGGAGGATATTTGCACAGTACTGCTGATAAACCCACCTTAAACTGATTTCGTGTTGTATCTGTTGCATGGTGGGAGCACTGATAAATATCTATAAAATCTATTTGTTTGGTGAAGTTATATCAGATTTGATCAACACATTGCTAATGGTTTTACTATAGAATGCATTGCAAATAAGGAAGAAAGGGATTGTCAGTGGTCAGGAATGAATGCGAGCATTACTGATAGAATAGGGCTATTATATGTATAATGGAAATACATTGCTAATGATTTTACTATAGGAGTGCATTGCAAATGAGGAAGAAAGGGATTGTCAGTGGTCAGGAATTAATGCGAGCATTACTGATAGAATAGGGCTATTATATGTATAATGGAAATACATTGCTAATGATTTTACTATAGGAGTGCATTGCAAATGAGAAAGAAAGGGATTGTCAGTGGTCAGGAATGAATGCGAGCATTACTGATAGAATAGGGCTATTATATGTATAATGGAAATACATTGCTAATGATTTTACTATAGGAATGCATTGCAAATGAGGAAGAAAGGGATTGTCAGTGGTCAGGAATGAATGCAAGCATTACTGATAGAATAGGGCTATTATATGTATAATGGAAATACATTGCTAATGATTTTACTATAGGAATGCATTGCAAATGAGAAAGAAAGGGATTGTCAGTGGTCAGGAATGAATCAAAGCATTACTGATAGAATAGGGCTATTATATGTATAATGGAAATACATTGCTAATGATTTTACTATAGGAGTGCATTGCAAATGAGGAAGAAAGGGATTGTCAGTGGTCAGGAATGAATGCGAGCATTACTGATAGAATAGGGCTATTATATGTATAATGGAAATACATTGCTAATGATTTTACTATAGGAGTGCATTGCAAATGAGAAAGAAAGGGATTGTCAGTGGTCAGGAATGAATGCGAGCATTACTGATAGAATAGGGCTATTATATGTATAATGGAAATACATTGCTAATGATTTTACTATAGGAATGCATTGCAAATGAGGAAGAAAGGGATTGTCAGTGGTCAGGAATGAATGCGAGCATTACTGATAGAATAGGGCTATTATATGTATAATGGAAATACATTGCTAATGATTTTACTATAGGAATGCATTGCAAATGAGGAAGAAAGGGATTGTCAGTGGTCAGGAATGAATGCAAGCATTACTGATAGAATAGGGCTATTATATGTATAATGGAAATACATTGCTAATGATTTTACTATAGGAATGCATTGCAAATGAGGAAGAAAGGGATTGTCAGTGGTCAGGAATGAATGCAAGCATTACTGATAGAATAGGGCTATTATATGTATAATGGAAATACATTGCTAATGATTTTACTATTGGAATGCATTGCAAATGAGGAAGAAA